TGGGTATTCTCTCTCTCTTTTTTTTTTTGTGAGGAAGATCAGCCCTGGGCTAACATCCATGCTAATCCTCCTCTTTTTGCTGAGGCAGACAGGCTCTGAGCTAACATCTATTGCCAATCCTCCTCCTTTTTTTCCCCCAAAGCCCCAGTAGATAGCTGTATGTCATAGGTGCACATCCCTCTAGTTGCTGTATGTGGGACGCGGCCTCAGTATGGCCGGACAAGCGGTGTGTTGGTGTGCGCCCGGGATCAGAACCTGGGCCGCCAGTAACAGAGCGTGCGCACTTAACTGCTAAGCCACAGGGCCGGCCCTCTCTGTCTTTTTTGATCATTGTTAGTTTAGATACTCCTTGCTTCTCTCTACCATCTGCAGTTTCTTCAAGGTTAGTAATGGGACTGGGCTGATTCAGGAGCTAAGGGAAAATGTTATAAAGACATGAGCTATGGAAATTTTAGTCTAGTGGGGAAAAAAAGTTCCTTAAAATATTAGAATACAGTGTGCTAAGTGATATGAACAAGGTAAGCACAGTGTATTATGGAGAGAATAGGGAAGTGGTTTCTAAATCAGACTTGGAGTTCATGGAAAGCTTTAGAAAGGAGTCAGGTAGGAGTTATAATAGGTAAAGCACATTTTAGGCAAAGGAACTTCAGGTTATAAGGGCATCTATAAAGGAATGGTTTTGTGAGACAGCACAAACTTTTTTGGACCCCACATGCAATTCTGAATGGTCTGGAATAAAGAATCTATGCAGGAAAGTGGCTGGAAAACTTAGAAGTAGGAGGGGCCTGAATATAACGTTATACCAAGGAGCTCAGATTTTTATTCTTTAGGAGAGCAGGAAGTATTAGTTTTGAGCAGGGAATTGTCAGGATCAGATTTCCACGTTTCAAAGAAAGCACTGCATGATGCTTACCCTCTAGGGCCCCGTGCTTGCATGGGAACTTTCTAAAGTCCTGGAATGGGCACTGGCAATGAGTTCTGTGGTCAACTGTTTCTTGTAAAATTGGCAAAAGGAAGATATTTTAACCACAATGGTCTCTTTCTACTATAATTTGCCTCCATTACACTTTCCCTAGGCTGTGGGCATTTTTAGAAACCAGCTAAGGGAAAATTTAGGATTATTTGGTCTGTATTTAGTAATATGTAATAAAGTGGTTTGTAGTCACTTCTGTGTATAGCTAAGTTATTGCTAGCCATCCTGGTGTAGAAACGGCTTCTGGTAATAACCTTACTACCCACCCAGCAGTTATAATAAAAAGATGGAGGAAGGTTATACCCTGGTATAAATGTGTATTCATGATTTTGTATTTGTTTCTTAAAGAAGAACCCTAAATCATACCAATTTCAGGACCTACAAACCAGGATCTTTACCTGGAGCACTGCCAGATAGGACCAAATTTAGGAAGCTATTATTAAAAATGTTTAGCCCCAAGGGAGATGAAGGCCTGAACGAAGGCAGTGGTGGTAGAAAGGGAGGCGCAAAGTCAAGATACAAGAAGCACGCAGGGAGTACAATCTAGGGAACGTGGCAATTGTTTTGATTTGTGGGGAGATTTTTATAACAAATAAGTCATCAACTTGCATAATTGGGAGGATGGAGGCCCATTCCCGGAGAGAGAACATAACGGGAACTGCAAGCTTGGGCGGAGGATGAATCCTGTTTGGGGCTTCTGGCGTTTCAGGTGTCAGAGGGAGAAGTAGAGGACAATGCTGGTCTGCATCACAGCTACGCACCCAGGTACTTGGGGGATATCATTTGTCATATTTTCTGTTCTCTGGAGGCCACTTACCAGGCTTTCTTTGGCCCTCGCTTTGCCATCCTCAGGCCACGAAACACCAACCACCTCATCGCCCTCACAGCTTCCTAATGGCGCCCGCTCACCGGATGTGGGAGCAGCACTTCCGCCCCAAGAGGCGCGCGCTCAGGGGGCGCAGGGCGCAGGCGCGCGGGGCTCTCAGCCCGGCCCAACCTGGGCCTGAGGCTGGGGGTTCCTCGGGTATTGGGTCCTTCCGTCGTTTTTTGCGGGATACTTTTCCCCATGAAGAGAGCGTTGTCTTCCCACTTAATCCCCCAAACTTCCACTTCCCCCACAGGAAGTCAACGGCGCCGTCCCGAGGGCTTTGTTGGTCTCTGGGCGCCGAGGCAGAGGCGCTAATGAAGATCAGTCAGCGCTGATTCCCCAGCTGGTAAACGCATGGCTCATTACCCTTGGTGGCTTTGCACAAAGCCCAGAAAGCTCCGTGAGCTGGGTTTAAAGCCTGCGGTGACTTTTGGTTTCCCATATATGGACCTGGAATTAAGAGGGAAAACTCCTAGCGATTAAGATACCGATTTCTTAAACCAGTTTTCTTAGGGAAGGGACCAGAGTAATTGCAGCCTCTTGGAATCCCAAATTAGCCCATGTGCCTGAGTGAACTGGGAGATTTCGAGAAGACTTCCACTATCTTGCAACTAAAGTCTTTCAGTGTAGCAGGATGGTTGAGGAAAACTTGACCTCATTATTACTAGCAATTGTGGAACAAATAGAAATGCATATTTTTATTAGTTTACTACTTACAAATACATTCTAAGTAAGACATTCATGGAAGAATACCAAAATGTAGTAGTGGACAATAGTAGTCCAGTGGGAAATTTTATGTCACCGAAGATGACTGGCAATTTAGAGTGTGAATACGAACCTGCTGTAATCATACCTTGAATTGTTGATTGAGTTAGAAATCTCACTTCAGTGAGGCTTATCCTGACTACTCTTTAAACAAAGTTTAACCTACACTTCTCCTACTCCCATCCCCCTTACCTGCTTGGAATTTTTTTTTTTTCTCCATAGCACTTTTTACTTTGTAATGTGTGGCATAATTTACTTGTTATAGCCATCGCTTATTATTTGTCTATCCCACACTAGAGTTAAGCTTCATGAAGGCAGGAATTTTTTTCCTACTTAACTAATATATTTCAAAAGCCAAGAACATTTTTGTCCCGTGGTCGGCACTCAATAAATAGTTATTGAATGAATGAATATGTTATTTTCCAAAGAGCAGAAAGAGAGCCTAAGTGGGCTTGCATGATTGGCATAACTTATGTGGAACATAGTTCTATTGAAAATCCTGGTAGTGAAGACAGTCAACAAGTCAACAAGTATTTATTGAATCTCTACTATATCCCAAATGATAGCTGTCCAAATTCCCCAGAATTTAGCAACTGTTCTTCATTAAACTTGCTGATACTTTTTAAAACATCTTGTACCTTTTGGTGTTCCTTGGGGGCAAGGCCTATATGATTCACCTATACAGCATCTCTTATGGTCATATGTCCGTACCAGACAATAAGTATTTGTTGAAAGAGCAAAGGTGTGAACTGGGTTAGGGCATTAGGGTTACCTGAGAATCCAGTTATTTTTCACATGAATATTTGTTTTGTGAAATTATGGTCCATAATAGTAGTAGTTTGCAATCCTTCTCTGAAAGATTCACAAGTTTTATGTGATAATTTTCAATCTGAAAAATTAACTTATGCATATTCTGGGTCATCTGGATTGCCAGATACTGACAGAAGGTTTTGGTGTCCTTGTTTGGTTTGTGTCTCTGGTGAGCATTTTAGCACTACGTGGTGTAGTACTTTGTTGCAGTTTAATAGGAAGAGAGAACAGAGGCGGCCTAAAAACGTAAGTGATTTATTCACCCCAAATGAAACCCAAATGACATTAAATCACTCTGTCAGGAGATTTCACAGTAGTTTAAAAGGAGAAAAGAGAGGAGAGAAGTGAGTCATGTGGTAAAATAGGCTTGCTGAAGTAGCAGTAGGTACCATATTCCTGTTCTGAGAGGTGATTTAGTTTGGCAAAGCATCATCATTGTTGTTTTCCAATTAATACTTTTAATTTAAATTTTGTTGGCTTTACATATTTGTTTGCATTTATTTTGTAATTTTGTGGGATTTTTTTTGTAGCTACAAGAGCTGTGATACAAGGAATCTGAGCCTACCTTGATGTTTGTACATATTTAATAATATCATAGTGAAAATAGTTTAAGCTGGGGACATTGGACCTTGAAAATGTGTTTTTACTTGTAGTGGGTTTTAGTGGTGTTTATACTTTACTCGAGTTTGTGAAAAATGGCATTATAAAGCTTCAGGCCTTAGGGCCCAGGACACAGAATATTTATTTCAATAAAGTCCAGGTAGGACGGTTCAATGTAGGACAGATATTTCTACCGTTAGTGGTGCTGGTGGTGGTGAAAAATAGGAGACGGGGGTCTCAGGAAAATGTAGGAAGATTGCTTAGAGAAAATGGAGGAATTTTAGATAAAGTTGGAACTCTTTTAGTAATTGTGCCTTTGGCTCTGAATTTGTGACTTCTCAGAAGCTTTTCTCAAATGGCCAAGTGAAATGCAGTGTTTTTGTTTCTAGATTTAAAAGAAAAATGCTAATCAGCATTTCTGTAGATGTTGCAAAACTTTGTTCTCTGTGGAACACTGGGAGACCTGAAGAGCTGTTTAAAGTCGTTGCAATAGAAGATCAGAGGAAAGAGATGCTTGATTTTTGATACTGTCTTCTCCCCTTGACCTCCCCATCCTGGCCCTGAAATGGGAAATAGAAGTAGAAAGAAATAAGATGAGGACTTTGTTTTGGTTTACTTTAATAGAAAGGGTACTGGAAGCAGGTATTATTTTAGAGTCAACTTGGCTACCATGTCCAGAGAAATACTGTCTGGAGTTCAGTCAATCAACAGATATTTATTGAACACCTACTGTGTACCAGGCATTATATGGGGAGCTGAAGACAGTGAACAATACAGAGTCCCTGCCTTTGTAAATAATACTTGCTTCTGTTCTATTGTGTCTTTATCTTCACTTGGTACACTTTAGCTGAATATGAGTGGGCAATTTGAAAATTTTTCCTGCATTCTTTATGCTGATGTGTCTGATTTCTAGGATAGAATACAGAGTTAGAAATCGTAAAGGCTCAGATTAATTTGTTCTTTTTATCTTTCTCTGTTTTTAAGGGGTGTCATGAAAGTTGACATAAATCTTCAGAAAGTGGACATTGACCAATGTTCAAATGATGGCTGGTTTTCAGGAACTCACAAATGTCACCTTAACAATTCAGAGGTAAGAACGTGAAAATAAAGTCCTCTGAAATCAGAAGCTCAGAAATGGATTACTTTTGAATATGTTATATTTGTCTGGGTAAGTGAACAAGAGGCATCTGACTGGGAAAAAGTCTCCTGTGCAGGTGTGAATGTTGCCAAATGAAGTGAAAGAGGTGTAGCAAATGAAAGTTGTGCAGAATAGCTGTTCATTGGGAGCCTAAGAGAAGTCTGAAACTAAAATTATGTCTGAAGTTTGGCTTTAGTCAAAGGCTGATCCTATGCTTCAAAATGGGCTAGAAATTAAAATAGCCGTGAAGTGAGAAAGCAGTCCCAGGAGGGGTCAACGAGATTATGCACATTTTTATGGAATAGGATGCCTGTTGAAACACTGGTGGTATTAATTCAGACACACTGCCATCTGCTAGAAAAGCAATACAGAAAGTATGGCAGGGAAATTTTGGAAACAAGGAGAAAACTGTTTACAGGGACCTAGAAAGGAAATGTGTGTATTTCCAATTTTCAACTCCTATCCATGCTTGATTTCAAGAGACTGTGGTTGGTAAGGAACAGACACAGAGATCATACTTCTGGAAATAAGACTGTCACTTGTCTTTTGTAGTTTCAGAGAGGAAATGTGATGACATCCTGATTTCATTTTCAGTAATCTATCTGTAAGTTCCCAAAATGTTATGAAGCTAATGTACAATAACATTCCTGATCTTAAACATTTGGATGATCCCAACTTTGAGTCCATGAATTGGTGAGGAAAGTCAGCTTGATTTGTTTAAAATAGAGGGGATAGTCCCATAAATGTAGTAATCTACATCTTCAATTTGAATTTTTGCCATTGTGAAAGACGGTTCTACATAGTGCAATTTTAAGGTAAGAAATTTTAAATCAGAAGGAAATTTAACAATAAGTACTTATTTGTGCCTTTACACAAATGATAAGTGTACAGACACATGCACAGGTATACACACATGTACATGTGTGTACATATGCCCATTACATGTTTCCCATGTGCTCTCCCCCACATATCCTGCCATACACAACCCACATACTCCCATACCCCACCACTACCCAAATAATCTTCCACAGTTCCCAACATCCCCCTTATACTCCACACACACACCTCCACCTGCCCCCCATACTCCCCACCACAATATCCCTCACCCCTCCCACCCCTTAAAGCCCCTAGAAGCTCCTATAATCCCCCACATCACTCTAAATCCATCACACATCCCCACCATATCCCCATGACCCCACTTCCTCAGTACCCCACACACATTCCCACACCCTCTCCCACGTCTCCATATACCTCCACACAGCCCTCACTCCCTCCACTCCCCCCGAATTGGGACCCACTTATGCAAGTGAAATACTTCCGTCTTAACTCACAGAAGTTCAGATCCTCTTTTTGCCTCCTTTCACTATTTGTTCTTACGGTTTTGAACTTTTCTGAGTTTCCCTTCCCTTTGGATTATTCTGGCATTTCCAAAGATGTGAATTTCAATCACTGATTGGTGAATATCTTCAGCCTGATTACTGTCTCCATGCCAATGGCCTATAGCCACTTGGCTTTGTCTTTTAGAGTGGAGTTTTTTCTGCATGGGTGTCATATTGTGGATATTGATCTGTATGTCCTCATTTCTGTAGGGCCTTGTTTCACTGGTGCTCCTGGGTGGTTCAATAAGCAGTCTGTCTACAAACAAGGAGATATTTACTTTTCAGTTTGTTACAGTTGCTGCCTGCCTCTAATAATCTTGGTGTAGCTTTTTTCCCCCCTCATAGCACATCTGTTTATTTGACTAGATGGTCATATTGGAAGTACCTCTTTCTCCTTTTGGAAGATTGGTTTATTTTCATTGCATCAAGATTATTAATTTTCTGGATGTTGTGTCTTTTTAAAGATATCAAATAAACTAAATTATTTCAAGATAAACTATTATCCTCGATTCTGGTTAACAAAGATTAGGTTGAAATGAGTAACTTTTGGCATTATTTATGGGAGCATATATTTATTCTATACCTTAGGAAAAACTGGAAAAACATATCCTACAAGACAGCTGACAGTTCAATCAATCTCATTTGAAAATGTCGTAGAAAGAGGCTCAGTGATCAAAAAATAACATCAACAAGCACTGAGTCTACAAAATGCATATTTTGACTTAGACTCTGGATCCCTCCACCCAAGTTACTGGAGTTGGGGGTAGGAGATCTTGGTGTCCTAGCCTGGGCCCATGGCATGGAACTCTTCACACTTTTTTGTTGGGCTTCTCTAAGGTTCTGTAGTTGGTGCTGGTCACTCTGGGCACCTGCAGCAGTTCCCTACCACATCCTCAGTCTAGTGAATAACAATAGTTATGTGAATTGGAGCCCAGGAACTGGCTTCTCTTGAAGTTTTTACTGCTTGAGAAAAGAGAAAGAAAAATCTCTTGTTCATGGCATTTTTCATCTGTACTGGCTCTCCTTTATTCCTTGTCACAAATCTTCTGTTACAGACCCCAAGGATTACCGTGTAAACTGGCTTATTTTTTATTTTTGGTGAGGAAGATTAGCCCTGGGCTAACATCTGTTGCCAATAGTCCTCTTTTTGCTGAGGAAGATTGGCCCTGGGCTAACATCTGTGCCCATCTTCCTCTACTTTATATGTGGGACGCCGCCACAGCATGGCTTGATGAGCGGTATGTAGGTCCATACCCGGGATCCAAACCTGCAAACCCCAGGCCGCCAAAGCAGAGCGTGTGAACTTAACCACTACGCCACCAGGCTGGCCCCCTAAACTGGCTTATTCTTGGAAGTACTTAACTTGATTCATAATCGTACAGTGTAGGGATCTGTCTTTATGAATATCCAAATCATTAGAAACAGAGACACACATGTTCACTGTGAGTTTTATCTTGCCAATGTTTAACATTCTTCTCTTATAAATACTAGAGGAAGTTACAAATTTTCCAAGTTACAATTGAGGCCAATTTCTCACTTTTAAAATTTTTCTGGTATGTTGACTTTTCAGCCTCCATGGTATCTTGAACCAGAATAGTGAGTCTGATGTTGGAAACAGACAAGTGGTATGTGACCAATGACCAAAAGCCTGAGGAGCATTTTAGAAAGGCATGGCATGGTTTATGAGGAAAACAATTTCTCTGTGAGTTTGGGTTGTTACAGGGTCTAGGAGGCCACTGAGTATCTTTTGAAGGGCATAGTAGAGCAAGATCTGAGTCGACACCCTGAACTGAACTGGCTGTTTTCATAATTGATCCAGATCACCGCAACATGGACTTGATCATGTTGTCCGTATCCATTTAAATAATTCTTGACCTATTTTCATATCATTGTTTCCTTTGAGTATACAAAATTCTCTTCTACAGAATAGTTTATTAGAAACATTAAAATAAATTGATATTCATTTTTGTTTTAAAGGTTTCCTTTAGCTTTGTTTCCCTTATAAGAAATTTTTTTGTCCCTATATGAAGTAGGAAACATTAGGACAGTGACCTTGAAACTTTTTGATTATATTCTATTAGTAAAAATGCTTTAAGCATCTGCTCATAGTGTATGTATATTTTTAATCTACAAAGTACACACACCTTTTGTTATACTTTTATATTCTGTATATTATAAATCAGAAAACTTAATTGGGCTGAGATAAAGATGAAATAATAATTTAATGTTGATTGTATTTTATAAAAATAAATATAATGAGAGCAATGTAATTGATTCACAATTTTTGAAAAATTTTTGGTGAGAGTGTTATGATCGGTTATGTTTCATCATATTTTAAAATCTTAGTTTAATACTTGGTAATGCAATGATTCAGAGGTCTCTAAGTTCAGTTTATTTTTATACTTAGTTTTTATGTTTGTCATAGTTGAAAATATGCTTCACAAGGTTATGTCAGTCCAAATTGAAGAAATAAATTGTTAACTGTGTTTGCTAAATTACAATGTTCATTTTTCATGTCCATCTACCAATTTTGCCAAGATTTTTGCAGAAATACAGCTGGCACTTTTTCATCTTACCTGATGTTAGTTGGTCCCTGCAAACTAATTGGAAAGCTGGGCATTTTAATATTTTAAAGGAATAGGTTAAAAATCCACTCAAACTTTCACAAGGAATATTTTCAAACAGAATAGGAAATTTTATTTCCAAGTTTAAACTGTGTGGCTATGCGAGTGTTTATAGTTTTTGGCAAAAAAACCACATAACATTGAAAACATTTCCAAATATCCATTTTCAAAATGCTCACTTCCAAAGGCTTTCTCATGGATTATTAAAATGTCTCTTTTACTTTGAAGGAACAGCTTATATATATTTTTGAAAATGCCTGCTGCATAGACATTACTGACAACCACTTGTCATCATAGAGCAGGTCAGCAAATTTGGAATGTTTCCCTTTTTCTGTAAAGAGCAATGCATAACTAATCTTTGAGTTTAGAAAAGAGTAGTTCGCTTTGAAATGATCAGAACATCTTTGTGTGGGAAAAGATTTTCCAGGTCACACACCATCTAATTATGAAGAGTTGTAAATATTTTACAATTTAAAATAATATACCCTGTAAATCCACTTAGATGGTCAAATATAAATGGTAATAAATTGAAATTTGAAAGCAAATGAAGGAATGAAGTAACCACTGTCATTATTTCTGTCTTGAAACTCCCAGTTCTCCTCCAGGATAGTTCAAGTGCCTTATCAGTATTGTGGTCATATGACATGTGGACTGAGTGAGGGCATTAATGTTGATCCAAGTCTTAAATATTAGTAAAGCTTAATTTATTTCTCTTTTTTTATAAAAAAGTTAAATATAAATAGAAGTTTTTGTATTTTCTTCTCACATGCCAATTAACCTCTTATGTCCTCTGCTTTGGAAACCACTTCTTGAGATTATCAGATTCACTGTTCTATCCAGAATCACAGGAATGGTTATATCATCAGCTCAGCTAATGGCTTTATATAGCTCTAAGATCATTTTTTGATATCTCTCCTTTTCTATTAAATGTATTGGATGAGAATCTACT